ACTTGGGATTTATTTCTACATTCTTCGAGCTTCGTAGCATTTTATTTTTACCACTCATATGATATAAAATTTATTCTTCTATTGATAGTTAATAACATGTGTCCATTGCCTCTACTAGATTATAAATTCTCCAAGAATAGTAATTTCTTCTTATACACCTTTTTATGTCTTATAACACTGCATAATGCCTATTCAGAGTAGTGTTTAACTATCATTTTATGGAAGAGTAGGCAGGTATCCTTCATTAATCAGGAATAACAGAATCATAGAATAATGGTTTTAAGAGGGATCTCAGAGTGCTAATCTGTTAATCATTTCTTATTTAGCCTATACACAGCCTATTTGTATATATTCCTTTGTTGTCTCCTCCACTAGACTGTAAACTCTTTGTGGGCAGGGACTGGTTTTTGCCTCTTTTTGTATCCCCAGTGCTTAGCACAGTGTTTGGTCTATTATAAGTACTTAATACATGTTTAGTGGTTGATGGATTAATCTAGTATAGTCCATATCTGAACAATAATCTTATAACATCCCCAGAAAATCATTCAGTACCCAATTTGAGGACCAGGACCCAGTACCTACCAAAGCATAGATGGTCCTATAAGGAATTTTTTCCTTATATCCTGAGTGATCACTGCCTAATTTTCTAAGAGCTAACAAACCATACTCTTTGTAACAATTTCCAGAATTTTGTCAGGAATCAAACTCACGTTCATCATTATATATGTGGAAGAACCTAACCCTCTATTTGAATATCAGAACATTTAATATGAGAATATTTTGAATATTAGAACATTTGCCCTTTTCTAGTCCTGTGGCTCAACTACCATTCTCCAAAAATTTTTGTCATTCACATCTAGCATTTTCTTTCAGTATCCTGGGATGATGTTTTCCCATACCTGATACTTGAATTCTTTTAGAACAGTTAGGTATTTCCTTTACATTCAATATTTATCTTGGTTTTAGCTCCTGGTTAACTGCTTTTGTTCTATCCTTCCCAGTCCATGGATAATTCTTTTTGGTAAAGAAAGCAGAAGGATAAGAATTGACATTTTTGCTATCACTCCATCCTTCATTATTAGCTCATCCCAAGAGGTTATAGTTCTGTCCATTATTTGATCTTTCTCTTGCTTTCATCATTTGATCTTTCTCTTGCTTTCATCATAGCTTAAAAAGTTATGTTACAGAGGAAAACCATTAGGCTTCATGTTGGTATGCTGTCTTCAAAATATATTTGTATTTTACAACATGTAGAGATCAAAGCATCCTTTTTTTTTAACTACTACCAGACCATTTATCTCTAGTTTCCTGAATCCAATTTAAAGTTTTTTTTTCATTATTCTCTTCAATCCTCCTGATTTAGGAATTACTTTTTAAAATTAAATCAGTTAACCCCAAAGAAAAATTTTTCCCTAGAATCTTTTTTAGGACCTGTTCAAAAAATCATTTCCTTCAAGAGACAAAATAAGAAGCCTGAGAAAATAACTTATACTAAAAGAAGCCATCTTGAAATAAGAATGTGTTTCTGTACTCTTAAAGCTGTAGAACTATATTTCTTAAGGAATCTTTCCTCCCATTATTTCAGTCTTCTCCCTTTTTAAACTCCAGCTACTACTTAAGCTAAAATAACTAGTAGATTTGAAACATATGAGTAGACCCCAACACATCAGAGAAAATTTTAGAAGCTAGATATGTGACCAAATTCTCTATAGTCTCCAATATGAACCCATTGTCCATGAATGAAAGATCAAAGCTGAGAAAACTAACTTAAAGTAGTTTAAAATGTTTGGTCATCCAACCATTTTGGAGAACAATTTTGAACTATGCCCAAAGGGCTATAAACATGTGCATACCCTTTGACCCAGCAATAGCACTTCTAGGGCTATATCCTGAAGAGACCATACAGGAAAAGGACCCATATGTACAAAAATATTCATAGCAGCTCTTTTTGTGGTGGCAAAGAATTGGAAATTGAGAGGATGCCCATCAATTGGAGAATGGCTGAGCAAGTTGTGGTATATGAATGTAATGGAATACTATTGTACTATAAGAAGTGATGAATAGGCTGACTTCAGAAAAACCTGGAAAGACTTGTATGATCTGATGCTGAGTGAAGTGAGCAGAACCAAAAGAATGTTGTACACAATAACAGCCACATTGTTTGATGACTAATATTGATGGGGACAGGACCCAAGCCAAGATTTCCACCCCTTCTACCAAAGAGAATCTGGCTCCCATTTGTCTACAGGCCCCAGCCCCTAATCCCCCTTTGATAGCCCTAGCTCTACCCTTTGATCTTAGGCCTTTCAAACTTCTTCCAATCAGAATTCTCACCTAGACTCTTTTCCCAGCCCCCTTTTCTGCCCACCCAAAGTTACTTCAGTGTATAAAAATTCTACCCTGGCCCCCATTCAGAAGTTGAGAATCTCATTCCCAAAAAGCTGAGACTTTCTTATGCCCCTTGTCCCCACAGGTGTCACCTGGCCTATGTGATTTATCACTAATAAACTTTTTCTCTGCTGGAAGAAGATTTGAGTTGAAATCATTTAGGCAGGGCTGATGTCGCAATCTCAGGGGTCCCCCAGCAGAACCCCAAACCTCTAGACCTCTTCAATATTGATAAACTTAACCCTTCTCAGCACTACAAGAATCTAAGACATCTCCAGAGGCCTACTGATGGAAAATACTATCCACATCCAAAGAAAGAACTATCTTTTTTTTCCTCTTCTGTTGAGTTTTGTTTTCTCTTTCTGATGGTTCCTCCTATTGGTTTTAAGTTTTACTTACAACTTCACTAATGTGAAAATATATTTAATAGGAATGTAAATGTATATCAGATTGTGCGCCATCTTGGGGAGGGTGGTGGCGAGGAAGGGGGAGAAAAATTTTAAACTCAAAAGCATATGGAAAGTGATTGTTGATAAATCAAAAGAAATTAATGAAAGAAATTTTAAAAAGAAAAAAAGCTAAAATAAAAAAATTAAAATATGAGACTTGATAGAAAGAAAAACAAACAAACAAACTTCCTTACAAATATAGTTATTCAAAGTTAGAACAGGCTGCTCTAGAGGTGAAGGCTGCATTGGAAATCTCCAAGCAGAGGACAAATGACCACTTTCACACTTGTGTAGTGTGAGTTCCTTTCTCTGGCTGTCCCCTGTGACTGCAATGCTCTTCCTCCTCATATCCACCTCCTGGCCTCCCAGGCTTCCTAGAAGTTCCAACTAAAATCCCACCTTCTACACAAAGCCTTTCTAATTCTTCTTAATTCTAGTGCCTTCTCTCCATAAAGCATTTCCTATTTGTCCTGTACTGTAGCTTGTTTGTACTTAGGTACTTGTTTGTTGTCTCTCCCCTTAGACTGTGAGCTCCTTGAGGGCAGGGATTGTCTTTTGCCTTTATTTGTATTCCCCCCAGTGACTGGCACAGTACCTGGCCCATAGCAGATACTTAAAAAAAATTCTTTAACTATTGGCCATTGAGATTTGGTTTGGATGAACTAGGTGGCTGCTGAAATTCCTTTCAATTTACAGATTTTGAGATTCTGTCCTCATTCATCCATTTCACAGACAAAGCAACTGTGGCTCCAAGATGTTAATCCTTATTCATGGCCTCACAGCTATTAAACAGCCAAGATAGGACTTAGAACAGGCTCTTATGACTTGAAACCCAATGACTTTTAGCCTTTTTGGCCAAAAGACTTTGCAAATAAAATGTTAAATAATTAAAAGAAAATATTTGGTCTCCTTATATCCCAAATGCATCAAAAGTGGGCTAAAGGACTCTTTCCCCAAGACTTCCAAGATCCCAGGAATAAATAAGCTTTGAATCAGTTTATGAATGACCCTATCAGCAGCTTAATGTAGATTAGGGGCGGGGGCATTAATGAATTTGTGCACTGAAGACAAATCATAAAAAATCCAGGCTGCTAGATTGCTTTACTTCTGTTTTTGGCAAAATAGGCCTGCTTTATTCCCTACAGATTAAAAGTTAAGTTTGGAATCAGTATTTATTTCATTGTTTCCACCCAGTCAAACTAGGTCTTTTTATCTAGTTGGGTGCTTAGGTGCTAGATAAACAGAACAAGAATTTTTAAAAAATTAGTAAAAAAAAGAAACCCAGGATATGTGTGTGGGGTGGGGGTGGGGTGGGGAGAAAGCAGGTGGAAATGGGCTAAGCATGGTTTACAACTTTCTGACCCTTTTTACCTTCTCAAACTTGGAGAATAGCTATCTGAATCAGAATAATCAATTTCCTGATGTATATTTGGAGGGCAGGGATTACTTAGGGGAACATAGGAATTATCTATTAGCTTACTGTGTTGTTGCCAGAATAATTCTACAATGCTTGTTTGGTTAGGTATGTCAGTGGTGAATAAAATTAAGAAGATACTTGCCTCAATTAAACTCTCCAACTTTAATCAACATATGATTATTAAGTATATTCTTCATAAGTATCAGAACATTGCCTTCTTCCTCATTTAACTTCAGTGGTCTTTTTTAGGATTACATTTAGCTTGACATTATGTAATAAATTTATTTTACTTAGGAGTAATTGACTCAATTGGTCACTAGAGAGGAAAATGCAGAAATTCATGACTTTCATATTTTGTTTGCAGGAATTAAACAGAAAAATCAAGCTATCTGGAGATAAAGAATTTTTTCGTAATTACATCTATATTGGTATCCTAAAAGAATAATACAATATGTATTCCCTTCTATTCCATGATAAAAGTATTTATAAATTAATTAGTTGTAAAAAAGGTGATTATAAAAATGAAAAAGTAAAGCTGTTGAAAGTAGATGACCTCTTAGAAGATTCATTTTGAAATATGTGATATTTGAAATGCTTTCTTTACTTAGTGTTTTAATTTTATTAAAAATGATATTTGAATTATAATTATTTTAATGAAAGAAAGTAAAGATTAAGTTTAACAGATTGACATGTTAAAACTAAAATGTCAATTACTAATGGAATGCTTTTTAAAACAATGTTTTCAGGTTTGTAGATGAATATAGAAAAAAAGAATATGAAGCAGCAGTTAAAATACAGAGCTGGTTTCGAGGATGTCGAGTACGAGCCTATATCAGGTATATTGATTTTTGCCAATGATTCGCCAGTTATATCATATAAAGTATATGTCTTTGGAAACTCGTACAATTATTTGGTTTTTTTAAACCTTTCATATGAAAAGTAAACTAGAAAATATTCTTTTTAGAAAAATAGTAAATATTAGTATTGAAGATGTTTCCTCATTAAAAGAACTAAGTGTATTGATTTTACATACTAAGGAACTTTAGAAATCCACAAATGGCAGATTTATCAGAGGCAGTTTGTCACTGCTGGGTAAGTCATATAGCAAGAATGATGGACAGTAGGTGAACTGTACAACTAATAGATGAAGTCATATAGGACTATCCAATAATTTCTAGAAGTTGAAAACTCAGTGGGACAAACCGACTGTTCGGCTATCTGGATAAAGATGGAAATATTAATTATAGTATTCATTGTAGTTATGTGCTGTAGGTGAAATGTCAATAGACTTTAATATGAATACTGACATTTTCTACTTACAAACAAGCCTTCAAAAATCTTAATTATATTTGGCAAATGATGAAGTTAATGTCGTATAATTTACATGATCATTTAAATTACATAATATAGTGTAACTAATTGACTACAGTACTTGTGATTTAAAATTGACAGTTTATGATTTCACTACTCTATCTGTAAATCTGGTCTGACTCCATGGGATGTAATACACTGGGCTTTTGCCAAAGGAAGAGTAATTCTTCTTAAGTGAACACAGGTTGTCCCAATTCTCTCCTTGTTGGATAGTGAAAAGGGATGTAGAGAGAACTGAAGAGTAGAATGGGATTTAGAGTCTGTATTACCAATACTATGTCATTACTACTATCATGGTCTGGCAATATGGAGCTATGACTGTGGGAAAAGGACAAAGAAATCTCCTAACTTAAAAAAAAAAGGTTTCCACCCCAGAAATGACCCATACATCTCTTAATGTCGATATTATACAACACTGTGAAACACTCTGAAAATTAAAATTTTAGCAATTCGGTTTTTTTTTACCAAGAAAAATTATTCAAAACTTAAAAAAAAATGAAATCATCTCATGATTAACATTTCAGGTATTTAAACAAAATGATGACAATTATACAGAAATGGTGGAGAGGTTATATGGGAAGAAAACAATATCGACAAATGGTGAAGGTAACTGCGTAAATTAAATAATCTTTTAAATTATACAATAGAATGTAACTCATTGACTGTTGTCTTATGTACTGAATTTAAAATTAAAATTTGTGAGCATACCACCCTTCTTGAAAATTTATATATGACATCGAATAGTTACATAAATTTACCTAAAGATAGAATATGGTCAGTTTGGGGTTGATATTCCTTACTTTAATTTAATTCTAAAAATAATAAAATGAGTCAATTTTTCTATCTTCTATTGTTCTTTATGTTATTGATTTAAATTTCTTACCTAATGAACCTTGAAATACTTGAGGTTTGCCTTGAGGCACATAGCAGATCACAGCCATCTAATTCCCCTAAGGGAGTTCAAGATAGCAGCATTGTGTGATAAGCAACTAGCTTAAAAGTCAGCTAAGAGGCTTAAGAAATTAAGAAAAAATATATACTTTTTTCTGAACACATAATTGGAAAGTTTTTTAATAAGTTGCTTGCTTCACTAATTTTCCAATTTGTTAATATTTTCTATTACAATAGTTTTTAATTTGTTCTTCATTTGTTCTTGATTAATTGCATCTAAGTCAAATTATTGTCTTTTCACAGAAATAAAAATGCACAGAGAAGGAAAATAAAAAATAAGCAGATGGTTAAATAAAATGTGTTCACATATAACAAGGGGATTTTAGAACATGCTAATAAACCATGTCAAGTACTTCTTGGAGTAAGATCCTAATACTTCATAGGTAACAACGTAGAAGTTGTCATACAACAACTCTAGATTCTGGAGTGTAGATTTCTTTAATGTAATCCATTATAAATAAGTTCTAGCTATCTTTTTTAAAATTAATTTTTGAAAATTATCAAGCATTTAGTTTTTTCTTCTTTCCACCCTATCCCTTCTAGAAAAGAGAAAAACAAAACCTTTGTAAGAAAAAATAGTCAAGCAAAATAAATTCCTATATTGGCCATGTCCAAAAATATGTCTCATTCTGACAACTAGATGGCACAGTGGATAGAGCACTATGGCTAGAATCATGAAGACCTGAGATCAAATCCAGCCTCAGACACTAACTAACTGTGTATCTCAGAGCAAGTCAGTTTCCACAATTATAAAATAAGATAAATAACAGCTACTATTTTTCAGAGTTGTAGTGAGGATCAAATGAGATAATATCTGTAAAAAGCTCTTAGCACAGTGCTTGACACATAGTAGGTGTTTTATAAATACTCATTCCTTTACCATTTGATCTTCCCTTCTGCTTATGAGTCCATCATCTCTTTGTCAGGAGGGAGAATGGTATTCATCATCAATCCTGTGGTGTCACAATCGATAATTGTGTTGATCAGAGTTCTTAAGTTTTTCAAAATGTTTGTTTATACAATATTGATGTTATAGTATAAATTATTCAGGTTCTACTCAGTTCACTCTGAATCAGTCCATACATCTTTTCCCAAGTTTCTCTGAAACAATCCTTTTCTTCATTTCTTAAAGCCCAATACTTCTACTCATTTTTACACAGTAGTTTGTTCAGCCAGTCTGTAAATGATGTGTACCTCACCTTACTTTCCATTTTTTTTGCCACCACAAAAAAGCAACTACAAATATTTTTATACATATAGGATTTTTCCTCTTTCTTTGACCTGTTTGGAGCTACTAGTTTTATTAATGGGTGAAAGTTATGCACAATTTAGTAACTATTAGGGCATAGTTCTTAATTGCTTTCCAGAATGACTGTACCAATTTATACCTACAAAGTACATCAATGTGCCTGTGTTCTAGCTGCCTCTCCAAGATTTCAATTTTTCATTTTTCCAGGGGTCAACTTTGTCAATCTGACAGGTTGTGTGAAACCTTAGAATTGATTTAATTTGTATTTCTTTAATTATAAATTATTTGGAGCATTCTTTCATTAATATTTTTTTCATTTTGTGGCTCTAGAGAACTTGGATGTCTTCCCTTGAGAACTGTCAGTTTGACCATTTATCAGTTGGGAAATGGCTCTTATTTTTATTTGAATCACCTCCTTATACATCTTAGAAATGACACCTCTGTCAGAGAAACCTGCTGTAGACTCCCTTCTCCCCTAATTAACTATTTCCCTTCTAGTCTTAGCTACATTGTGTTTACCTGAGCAAAATCTTTAATTTTAAATATTTTCCTCCAACCTATTTTCTTATGCCTTTTCTCTCTTTGCTTTAAATCCCCTCTTTACAGAGAAGTGTGGAATAGTAGTGTGCTTAATGCCAGTGTTCTATGTTTTATGCAAACAGTTTCTACTTCTTCATCCAACTTCCAATCAAAGGTTCTTACCTTCCCATCCTTTGCTTTTTAACTTCTCTTCATGATCTTTACTCTGAATTAATGTTGGTTTTGCTTATGACTAATTCCTCCCTAGAACTACCCTTCTTCTTATTCTCCCTTTTCTCTCTTCCTTTATCCCTCTTTTCCCCTGTTGAATTGAATGTATTTGTCCACCAGGCTTTTTATGTCTATGTTTGTTCTAATTTCCTTTAGTTAGTTCAAATGAAAATGAGGTTTGGCTGATGGCTACCTCTTCTGCTTCATCATTTGTATAGACTTTCACTTGTACTTCCTGAATATGAGAAATAAAACAGTCCCCCTTATGCCTTCCCTTTTCATCAATAGTATATGCTTTCCTCTTTCCCCTCTCCTTTCTTTTAATATAATAAAAATACAATAAATTCATTCCCAGGCCCTCCATCTAATTTGACTTCCTCTGTAACCTCTGATGACCTTACTGTTTTGGTTGTTGTTTTTGTTGATTCATTTTTCACTTGTGTCTTGACTCTTTATGACCCTGTTTGGAATTTTCTTGCCTAAGATACTGGAGTTGTTTGCCATTTCCTTCTCTAACTCATGAAAACAGGGTGAAGTAATTTGCCCAGCGTCTGAGGCCAGATTTGAAAACAGGAAGATGAATTTTCCTAACTTTAGGCCCAGAAACCTATCCACCATAACATGCAGCTGGTTTTGTGGTTGTTCAGTTGTTTTTTAATCTCATCCAATTCTTCATGACCACATTTGGGGCTTTCTTGTCAGAGATCCTAGAGTGGTTTGTCATTTCCATCTCCAGATGATTTTACAAATGAGGAAACTGAGGCAAACAGGGTTAAGTGACTAGGCCAGAGTCACACAGTTATTGATTGTCTGAGGCCAGATTTGAACTCAGGAAGATGAGTGTTCTTGAATCCAGGCCCAGCCCTCATTCCACTGTACTATCTAGCTGCCCTTACTGGGATGCTTATATTATTCCCCACATTAGAATGTAAACACTTTATCTTTTCCTGATTTTTCCTGATTGCTCACTTGAATTTGCCTTTTCATGTTTGTATTTCAAAGTTTCTACTCAACTGAAATCTTTTCATCAGGAATGCTTGGAAGTCCTCCATTTCATTAAAGGTCCATTTCCCCCCTCCAGTTTTTCTGGATGAATAATTCTTGGATAGAAGCCTTTTTTGCCTTTTGGAACATTGTATTTCATACTTTCCACTTCTTCGTGGTTGTAGTTGCTAGGTCCTATGTGATCCTGACTCTGATTCCTCTGTACTTGAACACTTTTTTTTCCTGGCTCCTTGAAATATTTTTTTTCTTTGACCTAAAAGCTCTGAATTTTGGCTATGATATTCCTTGGAGTTTCCACTTGGGATTTCTTTCTGTTGATATTTGGTGGATTCTTTCTATTTTTACTTTGACCTCTGGTTCCTAGAGATCTAGGCAGTATTCCTTCCTGGTTTCTTTTTTAATCATGGCTTTCAGGTAGTCTAGTCATTCTTAATTTATTTCTCCTTAATGTGTTTTGTAGGTCTTTTATTTTTTATATGAGATATCTTATATTTTCTTCTACTTTCTCAGTCTTTTGACTTTGTTTTTCATAGAGTCATTAACCTTTGTTTGGTATATTCTGATGTTCAAGAAGTCTGATACTTGGCCAAAGTTTTGTACCTCTTATGCTAAGCTGTTAATTCTCTTTACAATCTCTAATCCTCAGCTTTCATTTCTTTTCCAGTTCATATCATCCAAACTATATGTGGTTTTAAGCAAGAGGCAAAATACCTTAGTAAGTTAATGAACAGAATTCTATATTTCAATCAGCCAATCAACTTATTTATGTATTAAGTGCCAGTCACTGTGCTAGACACTGGAGAGGCAAAGACTCTTTAAAAATTTAAGCTACTCTTTTGTTCCTGGAACTTCTTGCCTTAAGGCATGATTACTGATGGATTTTCACTATAATTGCCTACTATGTCTAGGATTATTTCCATCAGGCCTTCAACTCACTAGTTGGGACCTCACCAACTTTCTTGCTGCCTGTCAGTCTACCCTCACCCTCCTACCTTTTCATTTCTGCTACCATAATCAAATCGATTCTGTGAATGCTCCTAGAAAGGGGATTTTACTCTTTTCCCCTATGGCTCTATTCATCATTACAGACGAGTTTTTAAGTGATCCTAGAGGTAATAAGGAACCACTGGAGTTTGTTGGGTAGAGCAGTGATATGCTTGGACCTTTGCTTTGGGAAAATCACTTTTGAAGCTGTGAGGAGGATAGATTGAAGCAAGGAAATATTTGAGTCAGGGAGACCAATAATGAGACTGTTGCAATAGTCCATGCTAGAAGTGATGAGGAGCTGAACTAGATTGTTGGCCCTGTAAGTAGAGATGGAGACTGATAAAAGAGATGCTGTTAAATGTTAGGTGGACAAGACTTGGCTACTGATTGTAAATGAGGTAAGAGAGATTAGGAGGTCAAAGATGATACTAATTTAATCCCACCCTTGTCATGAATTTGAAGGATTCTCCTAACCATTTTGTTTAAGTATTAGTTTAGTTTTTTTCCATTGAATAAATATGATTTATATACCTTTCTATAATTTATTGTAAAGTGAGTCCTCCATAAATGATAAAGGATTTTAAATGAGAGAAACCAAAATTTAAGGAGAAAGAGGTTTACCTGTTATAATTTCTTTGGAGGTCTTTTGTCATTTTTAAATCCT